CTCTCTCTCTCTCTCTCTCTCTCTCTCTCTCTCTCTCTCTCTCTCTCTCTCTCTCTCCTACTAGCCCAGACACACCCACCAAGGTTTTACAAAGAGCACAAATGTGCCCTCTCCCGCGCTTTGCATGCTCCAGCAGGTAGCAGGAATGCCATCCCCATGCACTCTCAATAACACAAAAGCTTCTTTCCTTCCTCCCATCCAAGCACACCGTAACTAACCAAACTCATCCCCCCAAATTTCCCTCAGCTGTTTTGCCTTCTGGAGCAAGTACCTTTGGAAAACGCAGTCCTGTTAGCAGACTCCAGGCAGTTCCTCTCCATCTCCAACCCCCCTTTACTGCAGGCTGCCAGGAAAGTGGTTTGGGGGTAGGCACACCCCCAGAGACCCTTCGGAGAAATCCACGGGGTGCTTTTGCTTTGCACTTACTCTGGCTTGCAGACGTCCTTGCTGCCTACCACGCTGTCTTTGTTGCACAGTGCGGGCGAGGTTTCTGCAGCGGGCTCCAGGTACTGCTGGCTGCTGCTCCTGCCTGGGCGGCTGCGCGCTCCCCTCTTCTTGGATGGATGACTCAGTGCTTTCTTTCTTCGCCCCGCTCCACTTTGGATTTTCTTGTGCTCTGCGGCTTCCTTGGCGGGATTTTTGGACGGGAAGGCGGGGAACTTGATCCTGTCTTGACTCAATTACACCCTGTCAGGGAGGGAAATGGAGAATGGGAGGGATGAGAAGGAGCAGGCTGTGAGGGGGGAGGAGGAGTGTTTTGCCCCCGAAATCTGATTGGGAAGCTTATGAAAAGCAGACTACTCTAGGGGCAGTCTTTGCCCAAACGGATTTGCGTGGAGAGACCAGGGGCTATAAGACTGTTCTTAGCATCCACGGAGCTCGGTATTTCTTTCACTAACTCCCAAACACCATTTTTTTTTTTTTTTCTCTCATGGATCCATACCTCGGCTTATCAAGTCAGATATCTTAATTGGAAAACTGATGGCATTTTACACTACAATTCTGGCCCAGTGCTTTTTTTTTTTCAACGTGGTATTCGGGGTGGGGGAGCTGTGTGCAGAAGCGACTGCCCCTCGCCCTCCATCCCTAAAGGCTTTCCTTGCTGAAAGTCCAGACTGACTTCTGCTGCCCTGCTCAGCCCACCTGCAGTCACAAAAAACGGCTAAGCACTTTTTCTGGGATGTCGCAGGGAGTGACAGCCCTCTGAAAATTCCCAATTAAATGTCACCTTCCTTTAGGGGATTTTTCCTTTCTTGGCTTCTTTGGTGCCTCTAGAGTCACCTATTTTTGTGACACGCTTTTGGCAAAGAAGGTAGGGGAATCATCGGTGTGGCTCAAATCTTAAGTTTTCTAAGACTCAAAGTGGACTACCTGGCTGTCTGCAATCTTTAACCAAGGAAAGAATAAAGTAACAGAACAGTTGACTCTCACATAGAAACTTATGAAAAATGGTGGCGTAAACTCAAATTTACCCAAACCTACTCAGATTATGAAATGGTCTCCAATTTCTCACGATTCTGAAGTTACATCTCTTCAACTCAATTAGTAGATCTTTATGAATTATGAATTGAACCCTCATATCATAGGACCATTTCTCTCCTAAAATTAGAGCCATTAGTTTATGGCAGGTTGTTTACCTATACCAGTGTCCAAGAGTCATCAGACAAAGATGTGACCCTGCAGGAGCAGAGCTTTTACTCCATCAATCTTCTTTCCTGCCTCAAAGGAAGGAGCAACAGAAATTCATTTGCACACCTAAGTCTGTCTTCTCAACAGTCTGTTCTCCTAAACTAATTTTCCACACAAAAACCATCTGTGCCTTCCTCAAGACAGATTCCAAGTTACGCATTTCTCTTTTTAAACTCCATTTTTGCCATGAAGCATTCAATCTGCTTTCATCTGGCTTAACTTGTATACAGGATTTGTTTGGCCAGCGCCTTTACTGTAAGAAAAGCTTCAACATTTCCTACAGCTCCACAGTGATGGAGTTCTAAGAACACTCCAGAAAATGTGTCCTTTTCCTTTTGCCCCTTAATTTTATCTTCATATTTAGCATAGTTCAATGAACTATGCTAGATTAACTACACTTGTTGATGGCTTTAATAAAACAAGCAGGAGATTCTCATGATGCCAACTCTATTTCACTTACTACTTCAAAATATAGATTTTTATTAAAGAAGTAGATGTAAAAATTAATTATATCTGTAGTTCTTGGGTGGGAGCAATTTAACCCTCTAGAAGACACTTGGCACTGTCTGGAGACATTTTCATTTATCAGAGGTTGGAGGAAGATATGACATATTCTATCGGTTCTCCCATGAATCTAGAGATAAAGAATGGCACTTAAACATCCTCTAGGCCCATCTGCATGGCCTAGTGAATAAAGTGCTTTCTGGTCAAGTATAGAATTTGAATCCCTAGGACCTACAAAAAAAGTCAGGCAGGCTTGGTAGTCAATTTGTAGCCTATAATCCTAGCACTTGGGAAGCAGAAACGAGATTCTTGGAACAAAGCAATTAGCTAGACTAACCAAATCAGTAAGTGCTCGGTTCAGAGAAACACCCCATCTTAGTAAATAAAGTGGGGAGCTGATGGAGGAAGACACCTGATAAACACGTGGATAAACGCAAGCACGCCTTGACACAAACACACACACACATTAGTTGCACCAAATGTAAATAGGGTCAGGACTGAAAAGATCTGAGGATATCATTTACTGTGGTGTTTTGAAGATGTAAAGGCATAAATAGTCTTCTTTTTTATAAGTAGAAACCTATAACAGTGCAATAACTTGTATTTTAATTCAAGCTATTTTCACTAAAGGTTAAGTAAAACATCATTAATGCATCTGAGATGTGCAACCTCAAACCCACATGTCACAGAAATATTAATTCCAGATTTCTAGTCATTTCACTCAGTTGACTATTATTGGTGAGCACTTAAGCATTTGACTAGATAGAATCCAGAAAAATGTTAAAACATTGACATGCAGAACACTTACATGGTTGTTCTTAACTTACAAATTAAAATCAGGGGAAAAACTGATGTGATCAGTGACATGAAAAAACATTCTGATGTGGTAAGAAAACTTTGGAGATTAGAATTTAAGTGATGGCCTAAAAACACTGAAGAAAATGTCCATGTAAACACTGAGAAGGGCCTCCACGCAGAAAGAGCGCCATCTGACCTGGCTAGCATTTTAGCAGAATGGTAAGAGGCTCAGCTCATGTCAGCGTGGGTCGGCTGAGAGCAAAGGCAGTTTACACGGCGCGGGTGCCACTGAGAATGATCAACCCTGACTGGTTTCAGAAGGTCCCTCCCTCCGCTGTGGTGCAGACACCTCAGGAGAGAAGGAATAGGCACAGTCCCCAGCAGGGGGTCTGCCGTTCTTCACTGACTAACTGTCTTCTCCTGCCCTCACTGCTGGGAGAATAATTAACTCCAGAAGCACTTGCTATCCAAGGCTCCCATCAGCAGGTACTGTCACCAGTTTTCCTGCCCCGATCAGCCTCTCCAGGTGAAATTAATGACCTCTCCCCCGTGAATACTCATTGCCAGGCTAACATGTAATTGATGCAAGCTGACTAGAAATCACGGAAACTACAACCTAACCTGCAGGTGATTTTGAAAATGAGGCTGCTGATTCCTCAGTGACAGATACAAAAGTTGGGTCGCCAGCAGGATTTTTGAAAACGTGGAGAAAGCAGATGAAAAATTAGGCAGCACATCTCCAGGACTGTCTACTTGGCAGGTTGTTTGAATTCTTGGTCACCCCTCTGCAGTTTTTCCATCTCCCTGGAATGCAAAGGAAATTCATCAGGCTATCACAGTTTGAAGGCAGTCCCGCAACATATCTAGAGAAATGCATACAAGCAAGGATGGCTAGTTGCTTCCCAAATCTTGCCTCTTCCTTTTCCTGGCATTGTCTAATGTGGCTAAGTAAACAATTTGTATGAGTCAGACTTCTACCCTGTGACAAAATATCACGAAATCCACCACTTAAGAAAGATTTATGTTTCATATAGTTAAACCATACCAGTCAGTCGCCGATGAATCTAAGTAGCTTGAGTTTCTGCCCCTCAAGCTTGTCCTTCTTGACCAGACCTGTCAACCAGATTATCAAAACAACACAGAAGAACAGGATGTCATCAGAGACAATGTTTAGGCCGACAGGAAAAACATCAGGCCCAAAATATCCAGACTGGCTGCGCACACACATACACGTACATTTGTGTCGTCACTGTTGTCTGTGTGGTGTATGTTCTTGTTAGGATGGGTGTACATGCAGATGTGCTCTCCTATGAAGGTCCAAGGTCACTGCTGGGTGTCTATCCTTGATTGTGCTCTACCATTAGTTTTAGAAACAAAGTCTCTTATCAAACTTGAAGCGTATCTGCTCAACGCATGCCAATGAGCTTCACAGATCCATCTGTCTCTGCTCACCCAGTGCTGGGGTTACAGGAATGCACCACCACCCCAGCTTTGGTGTGGGTTCTGGTGGTTTAAGCTTATGTTCCTGTGCTTTTGAGGAAGGCTCTTTATCAACTGAATCATCTCCAAGGCGCTGATTCCACATAAGACAACACAACCCACAGAATAACAACCCTCATTAACATGGACATGACAGCCAATATACATATCATCAGATCAAGGTCAACAATTTATAAACATAAAACTGAATATCAATGTTTGATTTTGTGTGAATTCAAATGCAATTTGCCATACTAAAAGATTAACAAGAAAAGGGATTGATAATTACACAGTGGGCAATACAGCAAAATTCAACACTCATTTAATGTGAAAAGTCTTAGCAACTTTAGAATATAAAACAATACACTTATGTTGGTAAGATAAAGAACGCTTCCAACAAATTCAGTGTTTATTATAGTGAAAGTGGATGCTCTTCTTCTAAAATCAAGGCACAAGATTTACTTTTAACTACTTTCATAGACCTTTGTACTTGTAATTTTAGCCAAGGAAGGCTTGTAAGAGACTTGAAAGAATCACAGGAAGTAAAACTGTCTTTATCTCAGACTGGGGGGGTGTAGAAATTTGTCAGGAACACACAGAGAATTTAACCTCAAAGAATGCGTAACCTGCAGTAGCTGCATTTCTCCTCAGCATGGCAAAGCACTTGGCCAAAGCATCTTCTGCGAGGAGAAGTTTCTTTGGCCTGTCCTTTGGGGGATTTTAGCCCATCGTGGCCAGGAAGGCATGGCAGATCAAGCTCAGTCTGTGTCACCAGGAATGTGAGCCATATGTCACCATATTTCATGGTAGGCACAAAGCAGGGCATGTTCTAGGTGCAGCATTTGGTACATACGCAGTGTCATTCAAGCTATTGATCAGAGAGGCCCCAGAGATCTCCAGAACAACAAAAGCTATTGCCATTGCCCTGGTTACCCACCACAACTCACAGTAGAAGACCGTTGCTGAAGACGTCACATGTGGCTACAGGACTTAGAGAAACAACCAGGAAACATCCTGCTAATGGCCAGCTGTCATAGTGCTGAAAGGTATTATGGAATTTAGTGGGAGAGAAAATACACACAAACATACATAAATGCATATATACATGTATAATGCAAGATCATGCATATGCTATACCAACTTATCAAAAAAGTTATGCCACTGGTGCAATAATTGTAGAACTATTATGGAGTAATTAACTGTTTTCTGGTTAGGTTTGAGGCTAGATTCTCAGGAGGGAATTACATGCCTGATAATGTAAATCCAGTAAAGAGCTCATGGCTCCAA